GTGACTTTTCATATTTCTCAGTTTTATTACCTAATTGAGGTGCGTGCAGAATCAGTGAGAGAAGTTTAAGGCAGATTCCTTGGAAGAGGGACTGTCCCACAGAAATACATAACGTTTGAAAGGGTTTAACATGGGAAGGGGACACGGAGGGAGAGGATGAAGTCCTTTCTCCCTAGATGATGTGATCCAGATCCAAATCAGGATAATGAATAAGGTGGAGCTCATTCATCTCTAGCTGTGGTTTCATTTACACACACACCCCCAACACATAGTGCCTGGGGCCTACAACTTGCACTTCTAAATCCTGCACTGATGGCACCACTGACTTTCTTTGAACTGGAAAAGAATAAAATTCAGATTCGATTGCACCTGTTTTAAAGAAAAACATTGTGTGTGTGTGTGTCTGTGTGTCTGTGTGTTAGGGTTGCCATCCCCCCCGATCAGGCCAGGGGATCCCCTGATTTCGGTGGCCTCACTCCGCCAGCCAACTGGCCGGTGGGGAAACCCCACCCCGAACAGCAGTGTTCCATGGGGACACTGCTGACGCAATGACGTCACCAGTAGAAGAAGAAGAGGAGTTTGGATTTATACCCCACCCTTCACTATCCAAAGGAGTCTCACAGTGGCTTACAATCTCCTTTCCCTTCCCTTCCCCACAACAGACACCCTGTGAGATAGGTGGGGCTGAGAGAGCTCTTTTGAGAACTGCTCATGAGAGCTCTGAAAGAACTTGTAACTGACCCAAGGTCAGCAGCTGCATGTGGAGGAGTGGGGAATCAAACCTGGTTCTCCCAGATTAGAGTCCACGCTCCTAATCACTACACCAAACTGGCTCTTTCTGCTGCACGCGCGAAGACATCACTGGTAGTGATGTCATCACGTTGGGGCCATTGCACGGTGACACGCTATAGCCTTTGGGGAGAAACTCTATTGCTACCATAGGGTTTTTGCCCCAAATGCTAGAGCGTCACTGCACAATGGCCCAGCATGATGACATCACTACCAATGATGTCTTTGCATGCACAGCAGAAAAGTCCTGACGAGGATCCAGAAGCCCCCTGCTGCAGGCAAGGTTAGACCTGACAACCTCTCTCTCTCTCTCTCTCTCTCTCTCTCTCTCTCTCTCTCTCTCT